CTCAAGTTAGTCTCTTGTAGATAGCATATAGATGGATCATGCTTTTTTTTTTTATCCATTCTGATAATCTCTGCCTTTTAATTAGAGAGTTGAACTCAGTTACTTTATTTTTTCATGTTGTTTATTTTTTCTTCCAGTTTCATTGAGATAAAATTGACATACAGCACTGTATAAGTTTAAGGTGTACAGCATAATGATTTGACTTACATACATCATGAAACGATTACCACAAATAGTTTACTGGATACCCATCATCTCATATAGATACAAAATTAAAGAAATAGAAAAAAATTTTTTTCTTTGTGATGAGAACTCTTAGGATTTACTCTTAACAACTTTCATATACAACATATAGTAGTGTTATGCAGTTATGTGATGTACAACATAATTAATATAACTGAAATTTTGTACCTTTTGAATACCCTCATCCAATCCCCCCTTCCCACACCCCCACCTCTGGTAACCACAAATCCAGTCTCTTTTTCTATGAGTTTTTTTTGAATTACAACTGACCTACAACACTATGTTAGTTCCTGGTGCGGGAACTATTTCTATACATTTCAAAATGATCACCACAATAAGTCTAGTTACCATCTGTCACCATACAAAATATTACATAATTATTGATTATATTGACACTGTACATTTCATACTCGTGACTCTTTTATTTAAATCACTTATAAGGAAGGATTTATTTCTGTCAATTAGCTATTTGTTTTCTGTATGTCTTATATGATTTTGTTCCTCATTTCCTCCATTACTGCCTTTCTTTGTATTCAGTTGATTTTTTTAGTGTACCATTTTGATTCCCTTCTTTTTCCTTTTCTGTATATTTTTAAGTTATTTTCTTAGTAGTTACTTTGAAGATTGAAATTAACATCTTAAACTTATAATAATCTAGTTTGAATAATACCAACTTTGTTCCAATAGTACAAACAAATAGTACTCTGCTCCTATACATCTTAGTTCTACCTCCTTTATATAGTTATTGTCACAGATTACATCTTTATATATTGTGTACCCATTAACATCAATTTATAATTATTATTTATGCCTTTTAATTCTCAAAGGAAAAAAAGAGGAGTTATAAACCAAAAATATAATATACTATCTTTTATATTTACCTATGTGGTTATCTTTGCCAGAGGTCTTTATTTTTTTGTATTGCTTCAGGTTACCATTTATTGTCCTGTCCTTTCATCCTGAAGGATTCCCTTTAGCATTTCTCAGAGGCAAGTCTACTGGTAATGAACTTCCTGTACTTTTGTTTATCTGGAAATGTCTTAATTTTTCCTTAATTCTTGAAGGATGGTTTTTCCAGATACAGAATTCTTGTTTGATAGTTTTTTCTTTCAAGATTTTAAATATATCATCCTACTGCTTTCTGGCCTCCATAGTTTCAGAGAAGAAATCAACTGTTAATATTACTGAGAATACCTTGTATATAGTGAGTCACTTCTCTCCTCTGCTTTCAAAATTTCAAGATTATCTTTGGGTTTCAACAAATTGACTATAATGTGTTTTGGTATGGATCTCTTTGAGTTTATTCTGCTTAGAATTTTTTGAACTTCGTGGATATGTATATTCATGCCTTCATCAGATTTGGGATGTTTTCAGCCATTATTTCTTCAAAAACTTTTTTTATGCTCTGTTCTCTCTCTCATGGGACTCCTGTGGTGAGTATGTTAGATGATATCCCATAGGTCTCTCAGACTTTGTTCGTTTTTCTTTATCTTTTTATCCTGCTCCTCAGACTCAATAACTTTAATTGCCTTATCTTCATATATGCTGATTCTTTCTTCTGCCTTCTCAAATTTGTTGTTGAACTCCCTCAGTGAATTTTTTCACTTTGGTTATTGTATTTTTGGCTCTAGAATTTAGTTGTTTGCCCATGGTTTCCTTCAGCTCTTTGAGCATATTTAAGACAGTTAATTTAAAGTCTTCATCTAATATGTCCAATGTGTGGGCTTCCTTAGGGATGGTTTTTGTCAAATTCTTTTTTTTCCTGTGAATGGGTCATACTTCCCTGTTTCTTTGTATGCTTTGTTAATTTTTTGTTGAGAACTATACATTCTGAGTATTAAAATGTAGTGTCTTTGGAAATCTGATTCTTCCACTCCTTAGGGGTTTCAGATATTTACTTGTTGAGGGCTGTAGCTGTCCATTTTGACTTTTCCAAATAAGTTTTGCCAAGTGTATTCTTTGTTGTGTGTGGTCCCTGAGGTTTCTGTTCTCTTACTTCTGTGGTCAGCCAATGACCTGATAAAGATTTCTCTCCCCCTCTCCCACAAAAGAGTTATGTCCCCTTAAATATTCTGATATATGCCACTGTGGAAGCTACTGCAGCCCCAAAGGGCTAAAACCAAGGCAAGCATCTGCACCTATCTCTCCGGGAACCCCCAGACCGACCAAAATGTAAAACCCCCAATATTTGGAGGACAAGGTTCTCTGCCACCAGCCAGCCACTCCGGGAATGTGGGCTGCCGTCCCTACAGCATTGACTAGTAGCTAGTCCATGCATGATGTTCTCTTATGAAAGATCAACATCCTCTGCCTTCATCAAGCACTCCCCCGATTGTTATGTGCCCAGCTAGGTTCCAGAATTCTGAAATAGGTGATTCAAATTGCTCTTTTCAGCTCAGTGGTTGCTTCGGTGGAGGGACTGACCCTAGAGCTTTCTAGTCTGACATTTTTCATGCTGTCATTCCTGTATTTAATTTCTAACATTTTAAATCTTTTATCCATTTGGAATTTTTAAACATTTATTTATTTATTTAATTTTGGCTTCACTGGGTCTTTGTTGCTGTGCAGGCTTTCTTTAGTTGCAGCGAGCGGGGGCTACTCTTTGTTGTGGTGCATGGGCTTCTCATTGTGGTGGCTTCTTTTGTTGCAGAGCATGGGCTCTAGGTACGCAGGCTTCAATAGTTGTGGCACGCAGGCTCAGTAGTTGTGGCTTGTGGGCTTTAGAGCACAGGCTCAGTTGTTGTGGCGCACAGGCTTAGTTGCTCTGCAGCATGTGGGATCTTCCTGGACCAGGGCTTGAACCTGTGTCACCTGCATTGGCAGGCAGATTCTTAACCACTGTGCCACCAGGGAAGCCCTCCATTTGGAATTTATGCTGGAGTGTAGTGTGTGAGGATTATCAGGTCCTGACTTAGAATCTATGTTTAAAACCAGCGTAGAAACCCAGAGTTGTGATCACCAGGTTAGGACTGGAAAATCCATCTGGTTCCCAGAGTGCTAAACCCAGCGTGCCCCTCACCACCAGGCTCACCCCAGCTTTATGGAAATGTGAGACCATAGGGAGATATAGAGAGGACAGATTGGGAGGGATGCAGTCAGGACAGCATGGGCCAGGTACAAGATAGTGATAGAAAGATTGTGCCCATAATAGGGGTGTTGCTATTGGGGAAGGTTGGGATGCAGAGGGGATGGGGATTGGAGGTGGGGATATTGTTGGGATGGGGATGAGGATGTGGTATGGGCCTTCCCAAGGCCCACAGAACAAAGGGGCTGGAACCTGGGTGAATTAGAAGAGAGATAATTGAGATCTTGAGTCTGCGGTTTTACAACAGGCTGAGACCTTAAGCAGGGCAGGGAGTGCCCCAGTTGGCAAGTTGGCTGGCATTCCTGGAAAAGGACTGGGAAAAAACAAGGAGATAAGATTTCTTGCGTCTTTTACCTGGTCTTATGGCAAATCCTGGCATGAGAAAGCTTTTAATTCCCATCTCTAAAATCTCCCCTTCCACACCTGCCCTACCTTTTGTGGAAGTGGCTAAGTAAGTAGTGAGCAGCCTATCTCTGAAGAGTTCCCAGAGAGGTGGGATAGCATGGACTTGGGGGGACATGTATATGATTCCAGAGTCATATCATATTAGATTGTTTACACTGTTTCCAAACTTGGCTGCACTTCAGAATCACTCAAGGACCTTATTAAAAATACAGAATTAGAGGTACCACCCCAGACCATCTTAAAAGAATCTCAGAATAGGGCCAAAGGATCTGTATTTTTACCAAGCTGTATATATTTATCTGTATTTTTACCAAGCTGTCCAGGTACTTCCAAGAATTTGGTAGGGTGGGGCTGGGAGAGCCACCTGGGCCTATTTGGCTCCCCATCCCAAATTCCAGATGGGCTCAGAGCCAGTGGAAGGGAACAAAGGTGGTCTGGGGGAAGAGGAAGCTGGGATGATGTACCCCCAGTCTTCCTGAGGGGAGGACTTTCTACCCTGGCACAGCTTGTGGAATGAGGGAGAACATGACAGGGAAGAGTTGGGGACTATGAAGTTTCCTCTTCTAAAATCTTACGTTCCCTCTCTCTCCCAGGACATACTGCCCCATTCCCCTTGTTTATGCCATCATGAGGGCCTCTTGTTTGTTAGATGGTGTCCACAGCCGCTTTAGGTCCCATCCTCAACTGCCTTTCCTCAATTTGGGAAGCTCTTCCTAGGATCTACCCTAAGTCCCTACCTCTGAACTTGACCCTGTAGTGGTAGACCGGCCTCAGGGAGATGTTCCATACTGGAGGCATTGGGACCTCCTTACTTGCTCCTGGGGCTTAGAACCTAAGTTAGGGGCTCTAAAGGAAGGGAAGGAAAGAGTGGGGACTTTGCCGGAGGTAGATACCTGGCTGGACATAAAGTCAGGGCTGGAAATAGCTACTCTCAGAGCAGGAAGATGACAGGAAATCCCTGTCGTACACTAGGGTGCAGGTGTCTGAGCCTATGGGGTGGAGGTGGGGGCATGAGAGGGAGGCACCAAGAGAACCTGGAAGGAAGTGGAGCTTAGATGTAGATGCAGTCCCCAGGAAAGGACCTGAGATGGTGAGAGGAGTTGTTATCCTTATCCTTCTCTGGGGCCCCAGGTCTGTCATCCAGCCATTCCTCTGCCCTCGGTTGCTGGCTTGGGCTCATCTCACCTCACAGTCCCACCCGAACCTTAAGTTTGCTGTAGGGATCTGGAGCTTGCAGCCCTGAACCAAGCCCCTCTCTTGTCCTCAGGCCAGCCTGGATGTAGACGGTAAGGAAGGGGACGCAGAGACTCGGATGGCCACACATCTGACCTGTGAGTATCCCCCTAAGTGTTCCAGTCTGTTGGGTGAAGGCTTTGGCTTGGTGTGAACTCTCGAGAGAGCCCAGGTAGTGTTTGACAGTACCTGCGGTGGCCGAGGTACAGAGGACCGCTACACCGGAGGCCCTGGTGCCGAGGGTGAGAGGTGAGGGAGGTGCACGTGGCTCACTTCAGCTTTACCTCTGCGGATGAGCGCAGAGTGAACGCACCCTAACGCCAGGTTGAGACCCTGGAGCCGGGGAGAGGGGTGTGCTCACCCACCCCTACTCACCCCCAGTGTCGGCAGACCCACTACCTCTTTAGGACGGGCACCTGGGCCTGGCTCCGGGGTGGAGGTCCTAGGTGCGGGTGTTGCAGGAGTCTGGAATTGCCCACATTGGGAAGAGGCCACATTCCCTTCAGCTCCAGGCCTCAGGCCCATTTGTGCCTGTCTGGTGGGGCTTTCAGGGCAACAGATGCTCCCAGCTTGGCAGGCAGGAGCCGGGGAGGGGTATGGCAGGAATTTCAGCTCAGAAGCTGGGCTAGAACAGGGCTTGGGGTGAGCTGGGCCCCTGTACGCTTGTATGTGAAACAAGGGTCAAAGGGCCTGGGTGCCGTGGTGCTCCTGGGTTCCCAGCTGAGCACTGAGCCCACCAGGGACAAGCTGCCCTGATGACTGTGCAGCTGTTACTGAGGGAGCTACTGCTTCCTGGACTGCAGATGACCCATTACCTTCAGAAGTGTGTGATATTTGTGTGCCCAGCGTAGTTGCAGACATTACTCAATGTGTGGCTGCCTAGGGACAGGGTTAGAGTTAGGACTATGCTTGGAACAGCACTGACATAGTGGTTACGGATTGGAGGTAGGTAGTGGTAAGCATAGGGCTGGAATCACGGTGATGTTAAAGTAGGATTTGGAATTGCGTTTATGGTTCCTGTTGATAAGAGCTAGTGCATCTTGTAGATATCACCTATAGTAGCTGGAGAATCTGTGTATCTACATGGTGAGAATTGAAAGGGTCTATAAAAGTCTGCTTTCTTCTCCAGCGCTCTGAAGTGTGGGTGGAGTAGGGGTGTCCTATCTGAGTTGATCTGGCACCATTTCCCTGTTAAAAAAGAAATGACAGGCCCAAAATGGAGTCACTTATGGTAAAAGGAAGACTTAATACCTGACCTTATTGAAGTTACAGCCTTCTCCAAGAATGTAATCCAAACTGATCAGTGTGGAAATTTCTGGTCCGCACCAGTGAGGTAATCCTTTCCATCCCCCAAAGGAAGATGAGGTAACCTGGCACATAGATCCCTTCATCCCCTATAGATAGATTACCTAACCCTGAAATAATCTTTTTTTGTTTTTGACTTCCTTGTCATACTCTTAAAAACCTTTCTTTTTCTATAGCCTTTTAGAGCTCCCCTCTACTTGCTAAACGGGATGCTGCCCAATTCATGAACTGTTCAGTAAAGCTAACTCGATGTTTAAAAAAAAAAGAGCTAGTGCATCTTAGATTAGGATTGTGTTAGGGTTGGAGTAGGATACTGTTTGAGTTTAAAATTGGGATCAAAATGGGTCAAGGAGATAAATTTTGTGTTGGGGGTCAGTTTTAAGCTTCTGAGATAGTCTGGAGAGGGACTTAACCTTATGCGTATTGTGTGATATTGATCTGGTTTAGATGAGAGCTTTTGGACATTTTCTGGCCTTCTGCACTTGAGAGTTATAAATGGCCATATGATCCCTGAAGCTGCGATCGACTAGAGGGAAGTAGGCATCTAGCTCCTGGGGAGAGGGAATATCGCAGTTTTCTATCCTGAACTTACCTGGCCATGTAAACATCTTTTGGGTAATACCCAGCAGCATTACCTTTATGAGGTACAGATATTCTGAGGGTCTCACTTAAAGGACTGGTTTTAGAGTTGTTTGTGAATGGGGCTGGAGTTGAGGTTAGGGTTAGGGTTGAAAGGCATGGACTGCAGTTGAAGTTTGGGGTAGAGCGACACATGTGGTCATGCCCTGTATCAAGGGCTCCTTCCTGACGAGTCAGGAGCTGGTTCTTCACAGTTTCCTGAGGGGGATTTTGACAGAGTAGGTCTGTCTGGCTTACTCTTCCTTTAGATTCTGTTTCTGCTGCATCGGAGAGACTGAGGGTCAGGAGCCTGCGGTAAACTGGGGACACTCCCCGGGGTAGGGATGGGAGTGTAGGTGAAGGACGGGGCTGCTGAAGAGGGCAGGGGACTGACTTGCTGACCGTGGTGTTCCTTTAAAAGCACACAGCCAAGCTGTTGAGACCAGGGGTGTGTGCGTGGATCCAAGACTGTCCTTATTAAAGGACAGGCAATGGGACATAAATTACTAACCAGAGTTTAGAGGTGAATAAACAGACCTGGCCTGAGGTGGCCTAGAAGTTTTATCGGGGAGAAAGGCTGGAAGGATGGATTGGGAATGCATTTGTGTTTGTGGGCCTGCAAGATGGGCTGTGTCTGTCTGCATGTGTGTGGTGCCAGAGTCGGCTGGAGCATGTCTGACTCAGGGTATTCATGAGTCTATGTAGGTGTGTTTCCTGAACATGTCTCTGGGTACTCTGAGTTAGCTTCTGAGTGGCATTGTTGACTTTATGTCCTCCTGTGTATGTGTCTGTGTGGCTAGGTGTCTGTACACATGTGTCTTTGACTGTGTGTGAGACTCTGCTCTGGCCTCTCACTTTCCCCTGACCCTCTCCCCTGATGCGCCCCAGCTGCCAAGAGTATTTACTGCAAGAGATTGGCTTCCTTTCCCTTCCCACTGTCTGGATTCCCATGTGTCCGGCTGCCTGCCCAGGGCCCTGCCCCTGAGGCCTCTGTGTGGGGCTTGACCTTGGGAGTGATACACTCTGGAAAGCCCCCGATATGCTCTTTGCCCGGCTGTGGACCCAGAGAAGTTACAGTGGAGGAGGGGGACAAGGCGGGAAAGGGGGGCAGTTGGCAGCATGCACCCCTCCTTCTGGAAACAGAGATCTCCTTCAGGCCCCCTCTTTCCTCCCCACGCTCTCATCCAGATCAAGTATTCAGGGTCCTGGCCTCACTGTCTGTGCGCATGGGAATGGACAGTCCTCCACAAGCCCCGTTAGGCATCTGGTCCTCTGCGTCCCCCAGCACCTTACAGGCCTGCCTTGTGCTCATTCCTCACATCCCCACCCACCCTCACGGCTGTCCTCCCTTATTTCCTGTCCCTGCCGTAGACACAGGAACCACTCTTGTCCTTCATTCTGTGACAGCCCAGGCCTGTGCCGTGGAGCAGGTGGAGCAGCAGGCTTTGGATGAATGGTGAGGAGCAGAGGCTCAGCCCCTCTCACAGGTGCAGGAAGCAGCAGCGCCTTGGGGTTTACTCCTGTGCGCATCCTGTGGTTGTTGCCTTCCCTGCGTGGGCTGCAGTGAGGAGGTACAGTAACAAAGCAGCCACGGTCCCTATTTGCTGGGACTTGGTGTTTAACAAGAGAAGTGATTTTGTGGAGAAGCCATTCTCCCGCACTGCAGGCACTCAGTTGCCTGAAATGCTCTCTGTAGAATTCTGAAATGTCTCTGCAGAGCCCAGGAGAAGGGCTCCAGAAGGTCAGAGCCATTCGCCACGACAGTATGGTATCTCAGAGGGCCGAGGCGAACTCTAAAGTTCCCAAGCAAGCATTGCTCTATCCCTAGCATCTACCAGCAATTCTGGAGCAGTGAATACCTGATTTTGTGCCCTGCTGTGAGAGTTTTCATTCTGATTTTACTTCTTGAGCCGAGGGGGAGCTGGAAGGTGGGGCTTGTGCTAGGGTTATAGGATGGGATGAGCAAGGCTTCATCCTTCTACAACATCCTGCATGAACATAGGCTCTGACCCTGTCTTCTCTCAGCTCTTGATTTTGCTGAGAACTGAGAATCCTGAAGGTCTTGGTTCCAGCTCATCTCTGTGCCCCTAGCCCTTTGTTGCAAAACTTGGTCAGCAGGATAAGCCAATGCCGGCACGTGGCAGGTGGGATACATGGGAAGGACCCGCTCCACCTAAGGCAGGATGTGTGTACATTAACCTCAGCTTCCCACGTGATGCTGCTGTGACCCTTCTGAGTCAATTCCCTTCATTCCGGGCCTCCCTCTCCTCTCCTTGCTCTGTGGCTCTCTGCCCAGCTCTCACCAGGCATGGAGGATGTGCCTGCCACAGGACCCCCTATGATCTTTGGGGATGCTTTAGGAAAACACTGGAGGGTGTGGCTCAGCAGGCCTGGGCCTTGTGCCTCCTCACCTTGGGGGGCCACAGCAGGGCCTGAACTCCCATCTGTTAGGTACAGAATCACCCTTCAGAGGAGGGACACAGTCATGCTTCTTCGCATCCTGGCTTTTCTGCATCCTGCTAGCAGGACACATTGTGCTAAGTGCTGGGTCCTATCAGAGGAAGAGTCCTGCCCCACCTCCTGATTTGATGGTATGTTGAGCCATCCTGGATTTCCTTAGGAATCAGTGAGGCAGGGGCATCCCACAGTCCCCCATACCACACCACGAGGAAGCTACAGCACTTCCTGCCCTTCCTGCAGCTTTTGGCTCCTCTGTGGTAGGTCAGAAGGTGGAAATGCAGACGTGCCACCTTCTGAGAGAAATGAAGTGTCCAAAACAGAGGTCCCTTCCATCCACTCAGGGCAGCCTCTTTGTCTTTCTGCTTCCCAGTTCTCTCCTCCTACCCTCAGACATCCGCAGTCTCTGGATGGACACTAGGATGCCACACCTGCCCTTTTTCTCTGTCTCAAGCCCCATCCTCTTCATGCTCTGTGCATCTAGAGCTTTTTCTGACATCTCTCCCCCTATATTCCAAGACCACCCTCTTCACACATGTGATCACCAACTTCAACTATTTTTTTTTTGCCCACCTGGGCTCACATGCTGCTACTGACTTCTTAGGCCCTAAAAAACCTCTTGCCATGGTAACTTCCAGCATTTCTCTTCATCTCTGGCTTTGGCTTTCTGTATCAGCCCTCCCCCCAGCCACGATCCTTCCCAGTTCCTCATTCACCCCTTTAGGTATTTGCCCTGTTCTCTTTTTTTTTTGCACTACACGGGCCTCTCACTGCTGTGGCTTCTCCCGTTGCGGAGCACAGGCTCTGGATGCGCAGGCTCAGTGGACATGGCTCACGGGCCCAGCCGCTCCGCGGCATGTGGGATCCTCCTGGACCGGGGCACGAACCCGTGTCCCCTGCATCGGCAGGCGGACTCTCAACCACTGCGCCACCAGGGAAGCCCCTGCCCTGTTCTCTTAATTGTAGGGAAACTGTTCTTTTCATGATACACAAAGTCCCTCCTCATTACTGATTACTGATTTTAGCCAAGGCCAACCCCTGAACCTGGGGACTCACTCCTATTCTGTTACTTCTGCACCATGACATTGCTCTAGCAGTTCCCCCTTTCTCTCCTGCATCATCAGTTTATTCCTCTTGACTGGTTCTTTTTTTTTTTTTTTTTTTTTTTTTTTTGTTTCGCGGGCCCCTTCCTTTTTTTGCCTCTCCCATTGCGGAGCACAGGCTCCGGACGCGCAGGCCCAACGGCCATGGCTCACGGGCCCAGCCGCTCTGCGGCATGTGGGATCTTCCCGGACCGGGGCACGAACCCGTGTTCCCTGCATCGGCAGGCAGACTCTCAACCACTGCGCCACCAGGGAAGCCCTTGACTGGTTCTTTTCCATCAACATCCAACAAGCTATATCTCCTACCTTTAAAAAGCCCTCTTGGGGCTTCCCTGGTGGCACAGTGGTTGAGAGTCTGCCTGCCGATGCGGGGGACGCGGGTTCGTGCCCCGGTCCGGGAGGATCCCGCATGCCGCTGAACGGCTGGGCGCATGAGCCATGGCCGCTGGGCCTGCGCGTCCGGAGCCTGGGCTCCGCGACGGGGGAGGCCACAGCTGTGAGAGGCCCGCGTACCGCAAAAAAAAAAAAAAAAAAAAAGCCCTCCTGATGCTCTCTCCTCACTTTTCTGCACCTCTGTGGAACAAAACTCCCTAAAGCAGTTGGTTACACTTGCTATCACCAGCTGCTCTTCCTCTCTGACTTGGATCCACTCCAGTTATGCCTTTACCTCCACCTCTGGCCTTAGTCTAGTCTTCTCAAGGCTATGAATGATCTCTGTGTTGTTAAATCTAATAATCAACTCTGAGTCCTCATCTTACTTGGCGGATTGGCAACTTTTCATGCAGTTGATCACTTTCTTCTTGAAACACCTTCCTCTCTTGGCTTCCAGTATGCCACCCTCTCCTGGTTCTCCTCCTACCTCACTGGCTACCACTTCTCAGTCTCCGCTTATTGGTTCCCACTTTTTTCTCCAATTTCTTAATGTTGGGGTGCCCCAAAGCCTGGTCCTAGATCTGTTCTTCATTTGCAGTCATTGCCTTGGTGATCTTATCCAGTCTCATGGTTTTACATCTCCATTTATCTATCTATCTATCTTATTCTTATTCTCCTAATTCTTCTCCTCCCCCTCCCCTCCCCCTCATTTTTCCCCTCCCCTCCCTCCCCCCTTCCTCCATTTCTTCATCATTATCATCATCATGTAATCTATCTTTCTATCTAATCATCTCCAGCCAGGACCTTCCCTGAGGACCATCAGGCTTCTTCTTTGAGAAAAGACTGTTGGAAGTATGGTCTCAGGCAGAAGCTGGGAGATTAGTCATGATACTACTGCAGTAATCATAGCAGCAGAGAGAGTGAGAAGTGGTCATGTTCTGAATTCATTTCATAAGGTAGAGACAACAGGATGGATTGGATGTGGATGGTTAGAAAAAAAATGTGAAGGATGACACCAACTCCTGGAAAGATGGAGTTGCTATTAACTGATGTTGTGAATACTGTGACTGGAGCGTGTATGTGCAATTAGATGATGGTTGGAATAGGGAATCAGGAGTTCACTGTTCTATAGAGGTGAATTTTGGACATTCAAGTATTTATGTTGATTAGACAATTTGGGCAGGTGAGACTGTCTATCACATCAAATCATGAGCTCTGTGGTGTAAGTCCTGTGTCTTTGTTGTGTTTACTGTAGTACCTTGCATATAGTAAGTAAGCAAATATTTTAATTGAATATAAGACACATCTCAAGTTTTTTTTTTTTTTTTTTTGCGGTACGCGGGCCCCTCACTGTTGTGGTCTCTCCCGTTGCGGAGCACAGGCTCTGGACGCGCAGGCGCAGCAGCCATGGCTCACGGGCCCGGCCGCTCTGCGGCATGTGGGATCCTCCCGGACCGGGGCACGAACCCGTGTTCCCTGCATCGGCAGGCGGACTCTCAACCACTGCGCCACCAGGGAAGCCCTCAAGGTTTTTTTTTTTTTAAGTTTTTTTCTTCCAGTTTTTTTTTGGCCACGCCGAGCGGCTTGTGGGATCTTAGTTCCCTGACCAAGGATTGAACCTGTGCCCTCTGCAGTGTAAGTGCGGAGTCCTAACCACTGGACCGCCAGGGAATTCCCCTTTCTTCCAGTTTTGAGATATAATTGACATTCGGCACTGTATAAGTTTAAGGTGTACAGCATAATCAAGGTTCTTTTTATTGTGACCCTGCTGGGGTCCTCATCAGCTGAGTACCCCAGTAATCCTGTGGCAGTATTCCCTATTCCACAGCACTCATCGTACGAATGTAATGATTTGTCTGCCTGCCCAGCCCCGACTTTGGATTCAAGTACTATTAAGGTATTATTATGCAGCAGCCGCTGTCCTAAGTCCTGGATGTATAATACACTATTGTCTTACTCAGGCAAGAATGAGATACCTATGGATGAGAAACCTAACAAGCAGAGGCAGTAAACACAGGAGAAAGGGGGCAAAACTGAGATATATCGAGATTAGAACACAGTGACTGACTCCATGTTTGGGCTGAGCAAAACCATGGATTTATAGTTACACCAATCCCTGACACTGGGAAACAGATTTGTTGGGTGGAGGGTGAGTGTTCAGAAATTTTGAATTAATTTGCATTTCCTTTGGACAATAAGGCTCAACTCACTGCTTTTCATCACATGATGGACAACAGACTAAAACTCAGTTTATTCCTCTCCATCCTCTAAAAGCACTTGGGTATTGGGTGGCTTCCTGGCTCAACTTCTTTTGAGTACATAGCAAACCAGCCTTTTCTCTTATCATGCCTTCTTCAGGAACATGTCATCTTCTTTTTTAAAAAATATTTATTTATTTATTTTGGCTGTGCTGGATCTTAGTCGTGGCACACGGGATCTTCGTGGAAGCATGCGGGTTTCTTAGTTGTGGCATGCGGACGTCTTAGTTGCGGCATGCAGACTCTTACTTGCAGCATGCAGGATCTAATTCCCTGACCAGGGATTGAACCTGGGCCCCCTGCGTTGGAAGCGCGGAGTCTTACCCACTGGACCACCAGGGAAGTCCCAGGAACATGTCAGCTTCTATCTCAGGGACTCAGACCCCCATCTACATGGTCTTCCTCTCTGCTTCTGTCCCTGCCTACCCTTGGGTGTGGGGGACAAGCCCCTCTCCATGTCCTACTGTGATCTTCATTCCAGGTGTCATTCATTCCATGCAGCTGTTAGGCAGTGGAAGTGGGATATAGGCAAGAGAGCTACAGCAGCCTCCTAGGTGAGTTCTCCAGAAAGATCTAACCAATAACCAAAAGGGAGCAGAAAGGGGAGATTCTACCATTTGCTTTTGATGTTAGTCATGTTAGCTATATGCTGTTGGTAAACAAAGCGCCTCCTCAAGGTTGGAAAACTGGCACTCCCCTCCAGATTGTGGGCATATATAGAAGTCATCAGTGAATTTTGCCTGTGGGATTCCTGGCCACTCCTTCTTGACAGTACTATCCTCACGTCCACATTGCTCCTCTGGGCCCAAGGACGCCATAATAGAAGTCAAGCCTGACCTTTACCTTCAGTGTACCTTAGACAAGGGCCTTCCTTCTCTGCTCCAGTTCCTTTATCCACAGTCCGGGGAGGGGGTGTTGTTGTGTGGAGTGCGACCCAGCCTAAGTGTGAGTTAAAACTCCTTCCCTAGATAAGAAGGACATTTACCTCCCTTATGCCTTCCCTGAACACACCACAGTAGAGAGGAGGAGCAGACAGACACCTCTCTGCTTAGAGATATAGAGTATATTTTGGGTGGCATTCTGCCCACCTGTACATTAATGAAAATGGCAGTAGCAGTCCTCTTCAAGGGATGCAGACGTTGAGGAGACTACAGAGTCTTTCAAATGCGCTGGGTCTTCTTGAGCAGACCAATGTTTCCATCTGAGGTGAGAGGTGAGAGTGAGGGTGGGTCCCCTGGTTGGATGGCACAAGCCACTCGAGGACAGTGCCGAGGGCAGCGGTGGGGGATGCCCAGGACTGAGGCAGAGTGGAGTTGATGGGAGTGGGAGCGGTGCCGGAGCTTACTGTCTGGGGAATGGGGACCATCCAAGAAGGTCAGGCCCACCTGCTTCTCAGTAGGCAGAAATTGGGCCTTTGGGTCCCCTCTTGTCTTCTCTGTCTTAGTTCGCCCCTTGGGACTTTTGGCTGGAGCCAGGCTCTTTGTTACATTTTCTTTTCTTGTGTTAGCCACTTTCTCACATGTGGAGGACACGGATTCCTCATGCCCTTTGCCTTTGGTTTTGGGGTTAATACAGTGTAGAAAAGATTTCATCTTATTTCTCAAGCCAGATTCTGGAAGGCTGGGCCTCTTGTGAGTATAGCCTGGCATCATCTGCCCCTGTAAAACCTGACCTTGTAAAGTTTCGCCCTGCAATGGTTCACCCAGAGTGAGTTGGCCCAGGAAAGGCTGGCCCTATGATGCCTGGGGCACCACAGGCTGGACATTCTCAGGAACCCTTGCTGGTTCTCAGGGACGAACATTGAGCTTGGCTTGACTGTCTTGCAGGTCATTCTTCTCAGAGTCTTTCCCCCCAGGGACTCCAGGAGGTATCTCTGGGAATTTAAGCTGAGGGTGATGCTGGGGACTGTGCTGACAGGGAGCACCAAGGTGATAGCGATGTCTCTGTTGCCAGGGGCTGCAGGGTGTCTTGTTCAGAAGCATCCCTTCTGGTCTCTGGGCTTCAGCAGAGTGGCTTTTTTCTCTTG